GAAAAATACACAGAAGAAAAGCTAAAACGGTAAAATTAAAGGAATTCGACATCCAAAGAAATTGTCTAAAATAATGGTAGATAAAAGTATGTACATATCGAGACAATGAAACACATTGCAATACGAAATTTCTACAACTTCCTGGTTAACAGTTTTACTATGAAAACAAAGATAAACTTATCGATAATCAATTTAAATATATTTGACAAGAAAAATTTGCATCCAGGTTTCTTGTGTGGCAAGCAATTTGTAGCTGTGGTATGCAGTCCTCTTGTTTTGTCACTAAAAAGACCATGACTGCCGATCTCTACATCAAATAATGCCCCTAAAAAAGACTTCTGCTTTTTATGAGAAAACACAAATACCCATGTCTCTTTTTGCCAGATCTTTTTGCTGCTTCTAAATGTTCTAAAAAAGTTCTAAAGTAATGCAAAGATAATAATGTGAAGAGACATGGGTATTTGTGTTGTAATTGTTTCTAAAGATGTGAATCTTCCAAATCATCCTGAAGAGTGCAAGATTGAATATTTTTGGGCAATAGTTAAAGAAGCTCTTTAAAAGACAGGTGGAGTAATGAAAATTATAAAAGACTTCTTAAAAAAGTAGATTAATGCCACCAATAAGGTGAAAAAAAACAACCTGCAAAATGATGCCATCATTTTGCAGGTTTTTTTGACGCAATAAAATTTGATCTTTTGTCAAACAGCACATCAAGCCCCTAAAAATTAGGCTGAAACCCTAATTGATGTAAAAAAATTTAATATATAAAAAAAAAAAAAACGAAATAAAGAGAATTTGCGGTTTTAGAGAAATCTCTATTTAAAAATGATCAGATTTTTCTGTGACCACCCAATAAACATATTTATAATATGACATTTACAATAAAAAACTATATATAAATACATATTCTTTATGAAAAACTAGTGAAACAGAAAATTTTGACAAAAAAATATTAACATACAAAAAACTTATAAATAAGCCAATAAAATTATAGAAATAACAAAGTAAAAAAGGAATTAATATAATCAAACTCAAAATATACCGATTCAATTAAATCGATAAGTTCATTGTACAAATAAATTTAAAGTTTGTTTATTAGGCAAAGGATTTTTCCATTTAATGTGAAGCACTTCTTAATTTAAATTAAGTAAAAAAAATTTCAATTATAAGAACAATAAGAGAATTATTCAATTATAAGAGAAACTGATGTGAAAGTTGTAACTTGGTAAAGAATAATTTATATTTTCTTTTTAAAATACTGAGCTAAATTGCTTGTTAAGAGTATTTGCAATATCAATTTTGTTAGTAATACTTCCATTTGTAATTGTTTGACCAACCCATAGTTTGGATGGATTCAGACATTTGGTTATATTTCCCTCAATCATAGTTATATTTATGATGAACTTGTTGCCAAATCAACAAAAATGGTAAATTACTTATTAATAAAATCAAAAGTTGAACAAAACATTACATATAAAAAAAGTATAACTTTTTTAGTAACTAAGTCACTAAAGGAGGAAGTCCAAAGTTTTAAATAAGTAGTAAAAATGTTATCAAATTTTAAATATTTTAAGTTTTTAAATACTTTGAAATCATAATGTATAATTTAAAAAATACATAAAAATGTAGCAAAACAAAAATATTTACTTTCAGCTTATGAAATAAAAATATTTACTTTCAGCTTATGAATCTTTTGAATTATTTTGAGAGGTCGCAGTATTGTAAACACATTAAATACATCTGCTAATGTAGTTGGTTCATTGTAAGATTTATGACTGCATAAATTTAAAAAATAATTTTAATAGATTTATTACAATATAATTAGTATAGTATATACATTATTTATATTTAAATATTTAAGTTAAAATTAATTAAATAATAAAAAAAAAAAAAATTAAATCTTACAAATTATGAAGAATTATTGACGTTAGATTAAACACAAAAATTAAAATGTCAAGAATGTTCCATGCATTTCTAAGGTATGAACCTTTGTGCAGAAAAAACCCATCAGCTACTACCTGTGAAAAAAAATTAAATGTTATTATTGGTTGACCTTTTAAATTATTACTGTTAGGCAACCTTTTATTTTAAACAATTATTATTGGTCAACCTATTATTTTAAACAATTGCTATTGGTCGACCTTTTTTTTTTAATTATTATTATTGGTTGACCTTTTATTTTAAAATATATTTTATTACCACTAACTAGATGCATGACAAAAAAAAGTACCTTTAGGAAAACTTCAACTCCAAAAACAAATGTAAAAACATAATCACAATAGACTAAAACCTAGGGGAAAAAAAAAATTAAATATAATTTGTAACTTTTGTCATTGTGTCATTCAAGTCATAAACAATAGACCATTTGTTAGTAAATAAAAGAAATATAGTAAATAAATAAAAATATATATATAATAAATAAATATAATATTTAACAATCTCTGTTAAATAAATGTAAATGTAAATTTTAAATTGAATAAAAAATAATATATTACAGTATTTTGTTTTTATTCTGAACCCATAATTGATTAAATCTATATCATTTGGAATATATAGTATATAATAAATTGACTACTTTCTGTGAATATGTGTATATATATATATATATATATATATATATATATATATATATATATATATATATATATATATATATATATATAACCAGATTTCTTTTTTTGATGTACTTATTAAACAATCCAATTCGCTTTCGACTTCAGTTTATCACAAAAAAGCTTATACAGGTCTTTTACAAAAAATTTATAGTTTTATTCCCTCAAATTTGGACTTGTTCGTTGTTTGACTGATTGTACTTTTTAAATTAACAATATTTGGTTAGTTTTGATAAAGATAGTAAGAATCTATCATTAGTTTTACAAAATAATAAATTTCCACCAAAAATTGTTGACTCTGAAATTAAGTCCTATATTGATAAGAAAATGAACCCATCTGTTTCTAACATTGATAATAGCTTAAATATAAGATACTTTAGGCTTTCATTCATTGGAATGGAATTATACTGAAGTGAGAATTTCAAAAACTGTTCATAAATATTGCAAGGATGTTCTAATAAAATTAATTTTCACTACTAATAAAATACAAGACTGGTTTTGCTTAAAAGAGTCATTTCCTAAACTGCATAAATCTCATGCTGTCTATAAATTTTCTTTCTTTGGCTGTAATGCCAGTTATATTGGAGAAACCTCCAGACATTTGAACTTCATAACTAGATAACTTCATAACTTCAGAACTTCATAACATAACATAACTTCAGAACTAAAATAAATAAGAGTAATTAGAGCGTTAGAGTAAGGGATATTAAGTAGTCCAGTTAGAATGATGGTATAGAGTAAGCAGATAGGATTGCACACGATGTTAGAGGGTGCAATTCGTACCATTAGTTAGGTCACGCCGGCAAAGTGATGATTGGAGCTCACTTAACATAAGCTCTATCTTAACTTTCTTTGTCGCCCAAAGGACACATAAAAACTAACCTTTTATATAAAATTTCTAAAGTGAAATTCTAAAATTGCTTCTAAAGTGCTTGCGGTTTTGTTTTACTAATAAAAAGTAATTAAAAATCAATAATTAATGTTTATTTTTTAAAATCGGTGTGATGATTGTTACACAAAACAATTCAGAATAGCAAATAGAGATTGCAAAACAAGCAATTCCCTTTTGCGAATTGCACAAAAAACTTTGCTTGTGGGTTTGTATCTTTTTTTTTAATAAAGTATTAAAAAAAAAAGATACAAACCCACAAGCAAGTATAAACTTATAACGAAAGTATTCCCTTGAGAGAATTCCGCACGAGGAATTCTTGCTTAAAAGCCAGTGCGCTGAATTAAATAGTAGTTACAAAACATTACAATCGGCTAATACTGCGCTTGTGGGTTTGTATCTTTTTTTTTTAATAAAGTATTAAAAAAAAAAGATACAAACCCACAAGCAAGTATAAAGTATCTTTCTTTTGAAAAAAAAAAATTTTTTTTTAAATAAAATTGAAAAATGTAGTTTACAACAATTTTGTTTAATATTAATATAAAAATATATTACATATGTGGGAGGACGAGGGTGGAAATCAAATGAGATGTTTATACTATATCTTATTTTACTTTTATATTAAAAAATTTTATCCTTTATAAAAATATATTCCGCTCCTTTAATCCGGGAGGCTTAATAAGCGCGAATGGGGCAAAAAAAAAAAAGCAATTTGCGTTATGCCAATATTTGCAATTTTATTTGGCACACTTATACCAGTTTGTACTTTAATCCAAGAGGCTTAATAAGCGTGAATTGGCATAAGTGCAAACTAGTATGAGCGAAATAACAATTTGCATTATGCCAATATTTGCAATTTTATTCGGCGCATTTATGCCAGTTCGCACTTATGCCAATGTTTGCAAACTCTTTTGGCTCACTTATACCAGTTCGCTCTTGTGCCAGTTTTTGTAACTGCTTTGCACTTATGCCAATTTGCATATATGCCAGTTCGTACTTACACCGTTTGCACATTTACCTCGATTTAATTTCAAATGTCTTGACATAGCTAAATATCGTGACTCTCTGTAAAGACTAAAAAGTAGAAAAATATATATAGCAAAAACATTTGCTAAAAAATTTAATATTTTATAATCTTTTCTTTTACTAAATATGATCTTTTCCTCAACTTTCTTTTTTGTCCATAGCCCGCTAAAAACTCACATTTTAAACAAAAATTTACCATAAAATTGCTTGCGGGTTTGTTATTGTAATCTCTTAACAAATCTTTTCATTTTTAAAATAGGCTAATATTGCTTGTGGGTTTGTAATTTTTTTTTAATATATTGTTCTCTTCTAAAAATAAATTTTTTTATTTTAAAAATCGGCTAAGATTGCTTGTGAGTTTGTATTTCTTTTTAAATCTTTTTTTTAATTTTTTTTTTTGTTAAAAAATATGTTAACTTTGTTTAATATTAATATAAAAATATAGAACATCTGTTGGAGGACGCGAGTTGCAATGCAAATGAAATACTTTGTTATTTTACTTTTATATTAAAAAAATTTTATCTTTTAAAAGAAAAATATTCTGCTCCTTTAATCAGCAAATACTCCGTTTTTTTAGGATAAAAAACTCGACTTAATTACAAATGTCTAGACAAATGCATCCCTAAATATCGTAACTCTCTGTAAAGACTAAAAAGTAGAAAATAAAATATAGCAAAAACATTTGCTAAAAACATAATCTTTTTGTACTAAAAAGTAGAAAATTAACTTTTTAATTTAAATTTAATAGTTCCGTAAACTAAAGATTGACAGATATTTTCTAAATAAACCTTGCGCAGACCTGTCAATCTTTAGTTTACGGAACTATTAAATTTAAATTAAAAAGTTGATTTTCTACTTTTTAGTACAAAAAGATTATGTTTTTAGCAAATGTTTTTGCTGAATAAAAACTTGTTTTAGCTGAATAAAAACTTGTGTTTAAATTGTTATATTGTATTGTTTATAAATTACTTATAAACAAACTTATTAAGGAAAAAAACTTATCTAAAGAACACATATATTTAGATTATTTAATTAGAGAACAAAATTTATAAAAAATGAAAAAAAAAATTAAAAGCCAATTATATAAATAAAATAGCATAGATATAATGTAATAAAAATAAGTAACTCAAAAAAAATTTTCATATCTTTTCCTTATTTTGTTTAAACAATTATTTAAATGTTTTAATTAAAAATATCAAACATAGCCATAAACATCAAACATATACCCATAAACATCAAAACAAGCTATGTGACTCAATATAAAAATAAAATGAATTTTTGGTAACCATTTGTTGATATTGTCTTTGTTTTAAAGTAATTTATCATCAATAGGTAAAAAAATGTTTTAAGGATCAAAATAAATTTCTAAAGCAAATCTATTTTTTTTAAAAAAATAAATAATAACTAAGAACAAGAATTTAAATTAAAATAAAAAAAAACAAATGTTTGTAATAAAAAGCAGCAGACAAAGGAAAATGTAAAATAAATAAAAAATTAAAATGCCACTTTTTGATAAAAGAAGCAAATTAAAAGCATCAAACTACAGACCAATCTATCTAACTGATCTTTTAATACCATAAAGTAAAGTGTTAAAAGGAATAGCTGATTGCATAAGGCAACACCTGATAAGAAAAATTTACTCTCAAAAAAGCAACATGGTTTTTATAAAAAACAAGAGTTGTAGAAAAAACCTATTATAATACTTAGAAATTTTAACACATGCGTTTTATAATGGAACACTGGCAGATGTATTGTACACAGACTTTAAAGAAGCTTTTTGTGTTTCACATAAAAAGTTATTATCCAAGTTATTGACTTGATATTTGTGGTAAACTTTTTAAGTGAATAGTCTGTCTTTTAGCTAACAGAAAACAACAAGTGGTTTTATGCAAAAGTGTGATTGATTGGATTTACACACCACTAACTACACATGTACTTTGTGATGTACCACAAGGGTCTGTTCTAGTTCCTCTCCTTTTACTGGTATTTATAAATGATTTACCACGAAATTATATTAATGAATGTTGTTTATATACTGATGATAATAAAAAAAGGCCAATTTCTTTTCAAAATAATTCACAATTGTTTCAAAATTATATAATTAAAATTGAGGAATAGTCTACAAAACAGAAATTAGGATTAAATTTTGAAAAATGTTAAATTATGCACTTGGGTTCAAATAATAAAGAATATTTGTATTTTATGAACAATAACAATACATTAATGGAAATTAAAAAGTCAAAACCAGAAAAAGACATTGTTGTTTATATATCAAGCGATTTGAAATTGGCTAAACGTGTTAAATATGCAGCTAGTAAAGCAAATAGTATGCTCTCACTACTAAATAATACATTCCATTAAAAGGATAAAGATGTAATAAAAACACTGTATTGTACGTATGTTAGATTAAATTAAGAGTTTTCAATTCAAGCATGGAGTTTGTATCAAACAAAAGATACTATTGAAGTAGAAAAAGTTCAACGAAGAGCAACCAAAATGATACTGGAACAAAGATTGGAAATTTTGGGTTTGACAACTTCACAGACTAGATGGTTAAAAGGCAACTTGGTCCAGCAACTCAAAATATTTAAAGGTATTGAAATCATTGGTATTAAACAAAATCAAACAATGAACTCTCTTTGTACATCAGGTCCAGCATCTAACATTAGAGGAGTAAAATATTGAATGAAACCTGAATTGGTCAGAAATTGTATGGGAATGCAATACTTTTTCAGCAGTAGGGTCATTGATGGATGGAATAGTCTACCAGCAAAAGTTGTTCAATCTATTACAGTAAACAGCTTGAAAACAAACATGCAATCAGTGACTTAAAAGCAATAACAAATAAGAGGAAAGTCAAGTATTATTAACAATATGCAAATATATGCAAATATATGCAACAATATGCAAACAATATGCAAATACATGCAACAATATGCAAACAATATGCAAATATATGCAACAAACAATTAG